GGTGCCCCATGGTTCTTGTTATTCTTGTAGGAAACACCTTCACTCTATAGGATATGCTCATATTTCTATTTCTTGGTTAGTCAGTAGTGTGTGACTTCTTTTTAGGAAAAAAAAAAATAAGAATGTAGTTCATACCACTTTCCACTTCCCTTTCCTCTTGGCTTTTGATAGATTTCTACTCTAACTTGAAATCATAAGTTTTAATTTTATTGCAACTGTAACATTGTTTCTTGATTTATTTCTTGATTCCTCAACTTTATACAATTTCTGTCAACCATATCTCACCCCCCTTTGACTATGTAAGTTCAGGAAAGTTCTTGTGCTCTTCTTTTCTCCTCCTTCCCCATTCCAACTCTCACCTCAATCTCTAGCAATAATGTCATAGTTATTACCATCCATATTCTGTCCTATATCTAACTTGTCTTCTACACTTTGATTGGAGGTTCTGAACAGTGACAATTAGTAACCAGTATAGACAGTATCAAGATTTTATAAATATTATTCACTGCAGATCCCAGTAGTGGAAGATTGGATCCATAAGAAGTATCTGTCATAAACCTCTGCCTGTAAAGGGAGAATATTTAAAATATCAAGGTCAAGTGAATTCTTCCATGCTATACCCCATCAGTTACTCCAAAGCAGGCCACAATTTAATTTGCCTCATCTTTGGACCATAACTTCTCATTCATTGCCTTATAGAACTCTCATGAGACTATAACTTTATAAACTTATGCTTCCTAATACTTAGTAATATTTAGTAACCAGGAGAGCTCAGAAGTCTTTCTTTTCTACAATCCAAATAAAATAATTCCCCAAATTAAAAAAAAACTTGATTGCTGTATATTGTTCATTTTTTATCTGAAGAATAGTATAAGCAAAATAGTCTCTAACTTAAGCTTTTTCTGTGCCCACTCTCTTTTCTGAAAATTGTAAATAGTGTTTCTATTACACCACAAGAGCAGTTTCAATCAAACGCTATTGTCATTTGGTGGAGTTTCCAGAAATCCATTACTGAACCTTTCCTCTTGACAAATACATCAGCTGCAAGAGCCCCAGTGGGCCACTTCAGGGGGTGGGATGACTCAAATACAGGGCACTTTCCAGGTTTATCCTCTGTTTACTGGTTTATTAATAGAATTGGCTAATCTCAGGTATGAAGGAATGTTAAAAATCCTCTTGTGTGACCTTGTTACATATGCTTTGTCCATAAACTGTTTGCAAGAAGTGGAGCTTAATTCCTCTCCTTGGGACTCTTCTTCTAAGGCTTAAGAATATGGCATTGTGATAGAGTGTGACTTCTGAGGCTAGATCAAAAAAGGCATTGTTGGGGTGCCTGGGTGGCTCAGTCTGTTAAGCATCCTACTTTGGCTCAGGTCATGATCTCACTGTTTCCGAGTTCAAGCCTCACATCCGTGCTGACAGCTCAGAGCCTGGAGCCTGTTTCAGATTCTGTGTGTGTGTTTTTCCCTCTCTCTCTCTCTGTCTCTCTCTCTGCTTCTCCCTTGCTCATATCTGTCTCTCTCTCTCAAAAATAAACATTAAAAAAATTTTTTTAAAGGCATTGTGACATCCTCCTTGCTTTCTCTATTGGATCACTCACTCTCAGAAGGACCAACTGTCATGTTGTAGGAACACTCAGGCAGCACTAGAGAAGGGTCCATGTGGCAAAAAACTGAGACCTCCTTCCAGTAACCAGCAAGGCATTGGGACTTCTTGCCAATAGCCTCAGCTCTGAGTGAACTTTCAGGTAACTGCAACCATGAGGGAGAATATGAATCTCTGAGCAAGAATCACCCAACAAAGCCACTCCTGAATTCCTCACCCACAGAAACTGAGATAATAAATGTTTGTTGTTTTAAACCACTACATTTTGGTGTAATTTATGCCAACACAGATAACTAACAAACCTTTTAAACCCTCTCACTGCCAAAGGGGCCTCTAGTTTGTCTAAATAGTTATAACAAATCAAGGTGCTCTGTTGCATCTTTAGGCAGCTCAGTCTATAATATTGCATCAGTGGATCCTGGTTTTCTTCTTTGACATCCTCTGGGACAAATGAAATCAGTGCCTTCCCAAGCTTGCAGTCCCTAGTCACTCTTTTCCAGACTGTCTCCTTACCCACCCCACCTCTATTCGTCTCCCATCTCCATATTGTCACCAGACTTTGCTCTCGATAATACATCTGTAGCTGGCCCAGAGAACCTAACTGTGGGCTCAGAAATGGGCAGTCAGGAGAGAAGCAGGCTGCCCTGAAGAAAGGGCAAAAATGAGAACTAGACCTAATTGTGGCTTAGAGAGACTAATCCTAGGATCAGGGGAATAGTGGTCAAAAGAAGAGCCACAAAAGTATATGTAATTAGTTTACTCTATGTCTAAGCTAAATGTTTAATAACTTTCTCTGTGTGTTAAAATAAAGACAAAACCTGTATCTGTTACTATCACTCACTCCCTACTTTTCAGTTCTTCCCTGAGAACACATACATACTCCTGCCTCTGCTGGTCATTTCCCCTAGAAGACAGACAAGAACTACTGAACTTGATGGGAAAGTCCTCCTCTGATCTAACCCCAGAACATGCTTTCATTGTTGTTTCCAATTAGTCCTTCCCTTTACACATCCTCAATGCCCCAAGTTCTTGCCACTCCAGATTGGTTGGTCTTCTTCCAAAGGGTCCTGTTTTTCCCCAGTAACTTTCATGTGCTTTTACCTGTGCTTGGGATGCCTTGGGCCAATTACATTCCTTCTTTTAAGACCCAGGACAGATGTGAATATTCTTGGAATCCTTTGGAAACCCTTTCCCCAGGTGATTTGTTCCTTCCTGGTGTGTGTGTGTGTGTGTGTGTGTGTGTGTGTGTGTGTGTGTGCACGTGCATTTTTTTTTTTTTTTTTTTTTTTTTTTTGCAACATGCATTTGGCATCCCTTGCAACACTTGCCATGACACATCCTACACATGTGTTAAAGTGTCTGTCCCTCCCTCTAGGCTCACACCTCTTAAGCTTTTTTCTGAGCCCAAATATTTGACAGGAATAGATCACAGATTTTTGAGTGCCAGTGACTCACATGGAGGATCCAGGGGTTTAAAATACCTTTCCAAGCACTAGAAGCTTCAGCTGCCTCTGAGAATCACACCACCAGATTGTGAATCATTTGAGGGCAATGACTGTGTCCTATCCAACCTTATACCCACCCACCATAGTAGCCTCTAATTATTAGGTGAACGAGTTAAGTGCCAAGTGGAATTTCTCTATTGATTCTTT